ATTCTGTGTTTTCCCACTGTGAGCGTGGATGTGATGCCTGGAGCTACGGCAGGCAATCTGATTATAAGAAAAGGCGGAATTGCAGCCATCTTGCTTCTGACCCCCCTGAATTGCTGAAACCATCCTAAAAATCATCCGCTTTCAGACTCATTGTCATAAACGAAAATCTCTCATCTTATCCACGGTCCCATTTTTTAGGCATTTGCAGACAAGTACATTTTTAAGTTCTATTGAGAAAGCTCAGAATAAGCTTTCCAGTAAAACTCTTGCCTAACTGACATTTGAAGAGTTAGCAAGATTTAGCTAGATGAAGATGTTTCTAGACAGAGGAAAACAAGTGTGTGAAAATGCTTGTGATAGGAGAAAGATGGGCACCTGTAAAGAGAAAACCCAAAAGCAAAGGGAAAGGAGTGGGGGAAGGATGAAGGCCAAAACCTTGCAGCCTTCACAGACCATGTTACTGTTTCGATTTCTAAGAAACTTGAAAACCCATGGAAAGGTTCGAAGGAGGGATGGTATCCGGCTTGTCCGGTAGTAGACTGGCGCGATGAGTGCTATGAATCAAATTAGGCTTTATGAATGCACAGAGGAAGAAATACGTCTTTTAGGAGGTCTTCAAAGGTCATTATTGTGCTGAGTCTTAAAGACTTAGGGGAAACTCATCAGACACAAATGGGGAAAAAAGTTTTAGAGGAAAAAGAGGTATGGCCAGAGTGCTGTTGGTGTGAATTCATGGTGCTTCTAGGTTCCCATGAATAGGTAAGTTTGACTCCAATAAAGAGTCCCTCCACAGAAGGAAGAGAAGGTGATGCTTAAATGTGGATGCGGGCAAGATCAGCAGACCTGAGCAAAGTCAGCCCGGGTTATAGGGAGGATGACTCATGATTTATTATCCTAACTGGGAATCTTCTGGAGTGAAAAAGGGTGCTATAAATTCCAGAGCAGTTGTCTTTTGCCAGCACTGTCTGGGCACATGGCGATGTAAGTTACGGTCACTCTACTTGGAAAGACTAAATATTTTGGGCAACTGAAATAACTTGCTTTCGATAATACACAATTCGCACATACCATCTCCCAACAGACATTTAAAGATGCATGTTTCACTTCTCTTAGAAAATTGTCACATGTAAGGGGCCCTGCCTTTGCAGTTTCACATAATAGTTCCAATTTGTACAGTTGAATAGGATTAAATTGATCTCTAGATTGGAAACTATAGACTGGGCTTCCATTTGTCGGCTATGAGCTCCTTCTGTTCTCTCCGCCTATTTTTTTTTTTTTTTAATCCTCTTGAATCCATTTTCTCCTTCAATTGGATTGCAGGTCTTTCTAGTGTCATCTCTCATCATGATGTGTTAATCAGAATTATCTATTTTTTTTTAAGAATTATTTTGATTTAACTTTATCTATTTAAATTTGACCAGAGAAGGACAGGGTGAATGAGAGAGAGAGAGAGAGAGAGAGAGAGAGG